GTAAAAGCCATATATACCAAATTTTACATTATTTACTCGCCCCCGTCTTCATGAGCGATACATTTAAAAAAAAAAATTTGATCTTTGCGAGCGACTTTGCAAATATATATAATTTTTCATTTTCTTAATTTTTGATTTTCAGCTCCTTTTTGCATAATTTCGCGAAAAGAATTTTTCGAACAATGAAAAAATCTCACCAAAACGTTGGGAAAAAGCGATTATTTACACCTAAGTCATTTTATAGTATAACCTTTGTTTTCTGAGAGTGGAAAGCAGGAAACAAAAATTAACCAAAATTCCATCACATTTAATGACTGGGCCCACATTTTTTGTGCGTTTTGGACGTTATAGTGATCCAATCTTCCTCATATTTTATATTTAGGTTTTTCTAATAAAATAAAGACTACAAACTAAATTTCATCGAAATCGGATGAAATTTAATGATTCCGCCCACAAGAGTAGAGAGCGTGGCAATTATTCAATCTTTACAAAATTTCATAATTATCTATTTCTAAGTAAAACTAGAGCACATGTCAAGGTTCAGTGAAATCGGTGCGGGTGTACTATTATTTCCACCTGCCTCCATATAGTCGAAACACTGTGCGCCATTTTAAACTATTAATTTTTATTTTACAGCTTTATTGCACTCTATAGAATAAATAAACAAGCCTTCCTCATGATTTTGAGAGACTTGCAGCCTTTTGTACAAATAAGCTTTATTCCCGCAGTGTTGAAGTTGGCAGCAACGCTGCGATTACTCGCCGAAGGTGGGTATCAAAGGTCTGTAGGAGTGGACTCAAGCATCGCTTTGGGAAGAAGCACCGCCTCCAAGATAATTTCAGAAATAATTATGCTCATGGAGCGGAGACTTTGCTCAAATTGGATAAAATTGTTCATGCCTGAGCAAGAGAAAAGAGCCGCCAAAAGTTCTTTCTACGAACAATGTGGTATTCCGGGTGTTATTGGATGTATTGACGGCACGCATATCAAGCTATTGCAACTACAAGACGGGTCTGCTTTTTTTAACCGAAAAGGAAATTTTAGCATTAATGCAATGATTGTAAGTTGCCACAATTACTGGATTTTATATAGAAAAAAGTTTTCGTGNAATAAAACCGACAAAATAAACATGAGTTCAATTGTTTTATTCGCGATTTTGCTGAATAATGAGCAGCAAACATCTGAAAAAGTGAAGCGAAAAGTTTTGCGCGTTCACAGCAATCCCATGGAATTACCGGACTCAGCGTTAGTAGTATAAAAAGTTTTTTTTTATACTAACGCCACACAGTGTTTCGACTATATGGAGCCAGGTAGAAAAAAGTCATGGTGACAGTTGATAAAAAAAAACCGGTTGGACTTAAAGAGGGAAAAGTAAAAGCCATATATACCAAATTTTACATTATTTACTCGCCCCCGTCTTCATGAGCGATACATTTAAAAAAAAAAATTTGATCTTTGCGAGCGACTTTGCAAATATATATAATTTTTCATTTTCTTAATTTTTGATTTTCAGCTCCTTTTTGCATAATTTCGCGAAAAGAATTTTTCGAACAATGAAAAAATCTCACCAAAACGTTGGGAAAAAGCGATTATTTACACCTAAGTCATTTTATAGTATAACCTTTGTTTTCTGAGAGTGGAAAGCAGGAAACAAAAATTAACCAAAATTCCATCACATTTAATGACTGGGCCCACATTTTTTGTGCGTTTTGGACGTTATAGTGATCCAATCTTCCTCATATTTTATATTTAGGTTTTTCTAATAAAATAAAGACTACAAACTAAATTTCATCGAAATCGGATGAAATTTAATGATTCCGCCCACAAGAGTAGAGAGCGTGGCAATTATTCAATCTTTACAAAATTTCATAATTATCTATTTCTAAGTAAAACTAGAGCACATGTCAAGGTTCAGTGAAATCGGTGCGGGTGTACTATTATTTCCACCTGCCTCCATATAGTCGAAACACTGTGCGCCATTTTAAACTATTAATTTTTATTTTACAGCTTTATTGCACTCTATAGAATAAATAAACAAGCCTTCCTCATGATTTTGAGAGACTTGCAGCCTTTTGTACAAATAAGCTTTATTCCCGCAGTGTTGAAGTTGGCAGCAACGCTGCGATTACTCGCCGAAGGTGGGTATCAAAGGTCTGTAGGAGTGGACTCAAGCATCGCTTTGGGAAGAAGCACCGCCTCCAAGATAATTTCAGAAATAATTATGCTCATGGAGCGGAGACTTTGCTCAAATTGGATAAAATTGTTCATGCCTGAGCAAGAGAAAAGAGCCGCCAAAAGTTCTTTCTACGAACAATGTGGTATTCCGGGTGTTATTGGATGTATTGGCGGCACGCATATCAAGCTATTGCAACTNGTGTTATTGGATGTATTGACGGCACGCATATCAAGCTATTGCAACTACAAGACGGGTCTGCTTTTTTTAACCGAAAAGGAAATTTTAGCATTAATGCAATGATTGTAAGTTGCCACAATTACTGGATTTTATATAGAAAAAAGTTTTCGTGAAATTTGTTTCTTATTTATTTCAGATTTGCGATCATAATATGGTTATTAGAGCTATTGATGCTTGTCATCCCGGTTCTAGCCATGACTCCTTTATATGGAGCATGTGCAATGCAAGACAGTTTGTCATGACGAAGTATCGAGATGGTGACCACAATTCGTGATTATTGGGCGATGCCGGGTATGCTCTGGAACCTTTTCTATTAACACCATATAGAAATCCAGAACCACGGTCTATACAACACGCGTTTAACAAAACACATTCTTCGGCACGTAATATAGTTGAACGAACAATTGGGGTTCTTAAAACTCGTTTTCGGTGTTTATTAGGAACCTTGTAGTACAAACCAAAAAAGGTTGTGAAAATAATTAATGTGTGTGTTGCCTTGCATAATATTTGTCGCCACTATAATCTTGAATATGACTATGGTGAACCTGAAGAAAACGCCAGCGAAGTAGGTAGTGAAGTAGATAGATTTGTACCAATAGACATTGGCTGCATTTCTTTATCCATTCCGGATAATCTCATTTCACAGCCGGAATAAACAGAATGTGTTTGAAATATAAGTTAACATATCATCAGGAACGTTCTAAAGAATAAGTAAACAAAAAAGTTCATTCCAAACGTTCAGAATGAATAAATAAATTCAGCCATTAACTTGCAAAGTGAAGCACAAAGAATTAGAGACGAAATTGCGGATAATATAATACAATATTTTAATAAAAACAAGTATATTTAATAAAAACAAGTATTGTAATTATAAATAAACAATTTTCGCAAAAAAACTAAACATTTTAAGACTTTTTACTTTTTTCAAATTCGAAACGCTCTAAGGCCCCTATTATGAGTTGCATTCGATTTTCGACTGTGGTCGAAAGTGCTGAGCGAACGAATTTTCATTTGGTATTATGGCGCTCATTCGATGAAGAATAGCGCTATTGTGAATTTCGCTCGTTTAGGTTGTTCACAATAGTATATTTTTCACCGCTGAGAAGCTTTGTTTACAAATCGAGCAAACTAAATAGTGTGCTTATACATATTTATGTAAATTTGTTCTAATTAAAATGAAATAAAAAAGAAAGCGAGTTTATAAAAACGTGGTAAAATGAGTACAACGAGTTCTGGTTCAACGATTCGTCAGAGGATGAGAGCTTAGTAAACTGGCCAGGAGTAGCAAATGTTTAAGAGAGTTTAAGTTTATTAGTCTTTCGAATATATTTTGATATAAAATATATTTAAGAAATTTGTCTACAGATTCATTAAAAAGTTCCGGCCATCTAAAGAAGCGTTTGTGAGCCAAATCTATTTAAAATATTTTAAAACTATCAACAGCGCTACGATTTTGTTCTCAGAGATCGCGCCAACAGAGTATTGGGATTTTCTTTCACAAGTAAAACCAGCCTTTCGAGCTTGTGTTTAGTATTCACGATGTTAGAACTGCATGAAATTAATAAAAATTGTTTAAAATTAGTGTCTAGCCGCCAAAATGTAAGAAAACATATACAAAATCATACATTTTTCACAATTTTCTAACACTTCGCTACACCATCGAAAGCAAAATTCTGTTCGACAGAAAATTCGATACTCAACGAAAATTTCGACACGCTTGCATAGCTCATAATACGAATTTCACTTTCGATCTTCGTTCTTCGATAGCCAGCGAAGATCGAAAATCGAATGCAGCTCATAAAATAAGGGCCTTAATCTAACTCAAGCTGTCGCAGTTTAATTTGGTTTTTTTCCAGCAATGCTTCTTCCACTTTTTTATGGTGATTATTCATGTCGCTGCGGATGTGGCATTAATTTTGTCTAAGCCGCGGTAAACTCGTCTGACGTCGCTCTCAGTGTCTTTTTGACTTTTCGCCAGCGCTGCTATGCTTCCAGAAAGGCTTTCATGGAATTTGTTTTCCGCTTGCATTAATGCCTTCACGGAATCCTAGAAATATACAAAAGGTATAATATATACATACATACATAAACATATACACATATATACATATGTAAGTATTCATATTTTATTTTGTAATTTACCTGTAGTGAGGGATTATTTCTGTGCCTCTTTGGGGTCGGAGACAGATTGGTTTCCTCCTCACGGGCTCTTGCGGATGTGGTAGGCAAATCATCATCGCTTAAATCGGGCGCGGATACTGCCTCCTCCCCAGTTCCAAAAGAAGCGGACATTGATATGCCTTCTACAACAGCGTACAGTCCGGAAATTATTGCTACCGTTCCTCCGCCTCCGACAATGTGTACTTTTTAAATGGGCCGCCTCCGGTAGCCACGGCCTCTCTTCTGTTGTGTGCCAATTTCTTCCTCACTTCACTTTTCCAGTCAGTCCAGGTATAGTTGCAAAAAATCTAAATAATTGTTATCCTTATAATCACAATAATATTTTACCTTCTTCCACTCATTTGTGTATTTTATTGTTAGTCCTTGGCTATTCAAGAGCCACTTTGTCTCCTTGNTCCAGCAATGCTTCTTCCACTTTTTTATGGTGATTATTCATGTCGCTGCGGATGTGGCATTAATTTTGTCTAAGCCGCGGTAAACTCGTCTGACGTCGCTCTCAGTGTCTTTTTGACTTTTCGCCAGCGCTGCTATGCTTCCAGAAAGGCTTTCATGGAATTTGTTTTCCGCTTGCATTAATGCCTTCACGGAATCCTAGAAATATACAAAAGGTATAATATATACATACATACATAAACATATACACATATATACATATGTAAGTATTCATATTTTATTTTGTAATTTACCTGTAGTGAGGGATTATTTCTGTGCCTCTTTGGGGTCGGAGACAGATTGGTTTCCTCCTCACGGGCTCTTGCGGATGTGGTAGGCAAATCATCATCGCTTAAATCGGGCGCGGATACTGCCTCCTCCCCAGTTCCAAAAGAAGCGGACATTGATATGCCTTCTACAACAGCGTACAGTCCGGAAATTATTGCTACCGTTCCTCCGCCTCCGACAATGTGTACTTTTTAAATGGGCCGCCTCCGGTAGCCACGGCCTCTCTTCTGTTGTGTGCCAATTTCTTCCTCACTTCACTTTTCCAGTCAGTCCAGGTATAGTTGCAAAAAATCTAAATAATTGTTATCCTTATAATCACAATAATATTTTACCTTCTTCCACTCATTTGTGTATTTTATTGTTAGTCCTTGGCTATTCAAGAGCCACTTTGTCTCCTTGGAAGAAGCCTTTGGCTATGTCTGGATTTACTTCCATGAAATCCAACATATTTTTGCTTTGCTCCGCCGTCTTGTGCTTTCCCCTGCATTTTAATAATTTGAATTTTAATAATTACCACTTTTATTATCTTTACTTACATTCTTTGGCCGTTAACAGTTATATTTTTGTTTTTCGTTTTGATTATTTTTTATTCCACTGGCTTTTAGCTGATCGGAACATTTCCGATAAAAAATTTCCGATAACCGGAATGCAGAACATCAAATTTCCGATAGAATTCCGACTCGAAGTGGATCGAAATGTAGAACAAGGCGGAATCGGAAATAATTTCGGATTGTCGGAATGCAGAACACCAAAAACACCGGAAACAAATCCGATTCCGATTCGAATCGGATTGCAGAACAGGGCTGAAAATGTGCAGCATAGCCTCCCATTTGGTAGCAGAAGAGATGGACGAAGATGTAGAGCAGAATCGGACACAAAGGATGGAAAGGAGGCAGTTACGCGATGCAACAAACCCGCTTGAGTTGCCCCAAGCTTTGTAAGTAGAAAAAGAAATTAGTATACTTATTTCCATTAATATTTGTGTTTCTCCGCTAATAACACTGAACGCAACTTTACGCTTCTTTGCAGAAGGCTATCAGACGGGAATCGGAAAAGAATACGACGTTTCTCTTGCTCAATGCAGCCTCAGCAAAGTGGTTGGCGAAGTAATAAATATTTTTGAAACTAATCTTTGCACAAAATGTATCTGTTTTTGCAGAACGGCGGAAGAAAAACGCAAAATTTCATTGGCACTTTACCGTAAGCGTGGCATTCCAAGTGTTATGGGATGCATAGATGGGACACATGTCCGCATTAAAGCTCCCTCCCAGAATAAACAGTTATAGCAGAAAGGAAAACTACAGCTTAAATGTCATGCTGGTAAGTGATCGACGTTTTATTACATTTTACCTCTAATAAAAAATATTTTTCAGGTGTGTGATCATGATCTACGTATTCAATATGTAGATGCGTCCCACCCCGGTGCTTGTCACGATTCCTTCGTTTGGAACACCAGCGAGCTACGAACTCACCTTGAACGAGAATATCTAAAAGGAAGGATCTGTTGAAATGAAATTCAACGAAGTTCACTCAAAATGCAGAAATTTTATAGAACGTACCAATGGGGTGCTAAAAAATCGATGGAGATGCCTTCTTGGAGCAAGAGAATCATTAATGTGTGTTGTGCATTACATAATATATGCCTTTTTTCAAAGTGAATAGACCAGTCACACAGTTCAACTGCCCAAGAAAGTGAGGTGATATCCCTTGCTTCAGACCAATATTTGTCTAATGCGCAAAGAATTAGAAATAACATTGGAAATAATATATATACAGTTAGTTTCAAAAATATGAATACCCAACAGCAAAAACCAGCCGAATCAGTTTCTTCAATTTCGTATGGGACTCGGGAAAATTGAAGAAACACCAAAAAATTGTCATCAAAATTGTCAACTATTCAATTGCATTTCTTAGAAAAATTTCGGGTATGCAGTTATGTAGCCCATAAAATTTTAGTACAATTATGTGTAATTTTGAAGTTTCTAAAAATTACCGTTTTTTTTTGGTCAAGGGTGTTTAGCATTTTCTTCCAAATAAAAATTAATTTTGTTCATGCGTTCTAAGAAATGGAATCGAAAAGTTGAAAATTTTTATGACAATTTTTTGGTATTTCTTCAATTTACACTGAGTCCTATACGAAATTGAAGAAACTGATTCTGCTGATTTTTGCTATTGAACTAACTATATTTTTATAAAAAATAAAAAAGGGAAATAAATAAAGAAAATAAATAGCCAAAATCATCAAAACACCAGGGTAATCATATAAAGTTAAATAATGACATTAAAGTCATGATTTTTTTCATTGTATTTAAATATAATTATATTTAAATATAAATGCATTAATGTATAACAAACTAAATTCAGTCTTCTTGACAATAACGAAACAACGAAAAAAAGGAAAATTAACATATCTTCATAAGTAAATATGTACACTGGCGATCAAAAGTGAGTGTATGGTTTTTTTGTTAAATATTTGCAATGTTTTTGAAGCTCAAGTTTTTTTGTTATTTTATTATAAAAGTGTGGTTTATGCTTCAATCAATACCACATAAGTTAAACTTTATACAGAAATTAGAAAAATTCAACAAATTGTTACCTCAATTTTTAACTTTTTAATCTGAATTTTTAGAAAAATTTGGGTACGCAGGTACTTCGGCTATGTAATTCTTGTAAATCAAGTGTAAGTTTTAAGCCCCTAAAAAATCGCGTTAAGTTTTTTATGAATTTTCTAATTTCTTTATGAAGTTTAAAAGTTTAACTTGTGTGGGTTTGATTGAAGAACAAACCATATTTTTATAAGCAAATAACTTCAAAAACATTGCAAATATTCGACAAAAAACACCATGCGATCACTTTTGATCGCCAGTGTATGTGTAACACATTTCAATTGCAATACTTGGACTTCAATTCTTCCAGCTCCAGTAGCCGGCGATTTTATTCAATTTTGTCTTCCACTTCTCTAAGCTTCAATCTTTCCATGACTAGGTTTTGCCGCTTTATTTCTTCTAGTTTTTCTTTTTTTACAGACGTCATGTCTCTAAATGTTCTTTCTGCAGGCCATAAGGCCTGTCGATTGAATGGTAAATTTTCCTTGTGTATTGTTGCTGGTCTTTCATTTCTGAAGCAGCAACTTTCATACTATCACACGTTGGTTTATGTATGACAAGTTCTTCCTCGAGGACATCATAAGAAGAACGTTTTTGCGTTGGCGTTTGACGTGACACTTGGCAGTTGGAGTTTTTCAGACGTGTTCGCGCTTTTTTTGACGGTGGCATTTGATAGTCAGTTGCTTCGGAGTTTTCTATCAACTATTGTCGATTGTTGAGCCCACCCCGAATTTATTCGCCACGCCTTCCACTGATACCTTCATGCCAATTAAGCTGTAAATAGCCTCTTCATTGGCAGAAAACTTCTTCTCTAAATACATCGATACATCGATATCAGTTTCAACGATGTTTTAAACATCGAGTTTAGTTTGACCCGGACTTGCTTCGGCTTCAACTTAAGCTCGCTATACAGTTCAATGCGAGCGTGAACGTGAACTTTTTATTTTGACTAATAGCTTCGCCTTTACTTCACTTTTTACAATAGTTAATATATCAAAAGATAGAGAATTAAAAAATTTTTCAGAATTATAAAATTAAAAATAATTATATTCAACAATTTTTATGAGCTTGAGGCCGTTTTTAGTGAAAACTTATTGTGGAAAAGCAGCAATAATTTGAAAAAACGGTAGAAGTGATAGCAATTTCGGAAATCACCACATTTCCTCATCAGACTTCTTTCAGTAGGATTCGAACCGACGATCACCACTGACTCAGCCAGTTGCCTACGCACTGTGCTAAGTTTGTCTTGTTAATTCTTGTTGCTTATTTTCCACTATTTCACTTTGCTAAGCCAACTACAATCAAGCGCAGCTATTCCGCTGCAATTCACTTGATCATGTGGTTGTTGGTTTTGTTGGTTTTTGTTAATATTTCTATTATTAGAATGTTTAACTTTT